CTTAATTCGGAGGAATTGTACAACGTATTTCATTCAAAGTGCTGTCCATCGTTAGCTACGATGTTTCACCATTATTCAGGGGGTTTATTCTGTACCTTTTGAGACTACTCTAGAATTTACCCATTTTTTGTTTACCTCATGCGAAGTGGAGCTGAAGCTATTAATTCAGGCCTGAGTCGTTGACAAGAACAAATAGAGCACGTACTACACCGCGGAATCCTGAGCGGCGGTCATATTCGGTCGCTGGCAGGAGGGGTTCGTAACTGGCCAGAGAAATTTCCTTTCAAAGCTGAATTCTTTCCGTCATGGAACCGGAGGGTGGAGGGGGGGGCCGGGGTGGTGGTGTCGCGACGCTCTGACATGCTTGTGAGAAGGGGAGTTGCATACAACTCAAGAATTTCCCCTGCCCGCTCGCCGGCGGTTTTTTGATGGAAAACGGAAAAAAATGGAAAATTGATAAAATGTGGAAAACTGTAGGGGGTCGGCAGGATGGGAAAGACAGGGGGGGGGGTTTCGTAACAGAAGATGAAACTTAGAGAAGGACTTGGTCTGCAAAAACTTCCCTCAGCGACACAGCACGTGCCCTGGGAACAAGTGGTAGCTAGAATGGGTGCGCTGGGACATCCCATCGAAACAGCGCTCGGAAACTTTCTATTGAACAGAATTTTTGCAACATAGTGGCCGGGCTGTATTGTCGTGCTGATATGTCACATTGTCGTGCCCTCTGGGATATTTGAGGCGTTCAATGTCCAACGCTCAGCTCACTTGAATCAATTGTTGTTGCTAACAATACGCTGCGGTAGTTTTTGTAGATTGGAGTAACTCTTAGTAGATAACTCTGAGCTAATCTCACCAGATATACAGCATTGTCTCCAGTTTTGGTTTGACAGCTGTAGATGGGTAGGCCTATCGATGGTTTTTTGGATTGTAATAGTGGGTTCGCTCTCCGTCCCCCGTCACGATTCAGTGCAAAAACTCTTCCGCTTTTGCCTTTGGGGCAGCTGGTGACTATTTGAGGGACCGCGTTAGACTCCTATTGACTTCAGTTTCTCAAAAATCCAACTTATTTTAGCTTATTAATGGCATGGAGACTGTTCAAAATCGCTTGCTGAGTGACGTCCAAGATTTCAGGAGAGCTTCTCTTGAATTTCAGGAGAGCTTCTCTTGAGTCTGGCATAGACCATGATCCCATAACGTCTCAAAGCCGGCGTATTCAACGGAACGGTCCGCGATCAGGTATAGAAGTTGGAAATATGGCGTCGGGAGGGTAGTGTAGTCCGCGACGAACAACCTTGTACCGGTTTCGCGGCAAAAAAATTGTAAGGGAGGGGCGCTATAGCGGAATATAGGTTCAGTGACGCCTCCCTTTCACAGTGACTCCGCCCTCAAGGCCTTCTTTAACGAAGCTAAGGACAAAAAAGCAGGACAATTGACACACGTACGGTCGTAGAGTTCTTAATGGGGAATCATCAGCTGTACGGGTGAGGGCGTAGTGTTGAAGCTGGAGGTAACCGGCACGTCAGACTGGGATCGGAATGGGGTTCTATTTAGGGCAGTTGGCATGTTTTTTTCTGCTTTTTTCTTTACTATCGAGTTACTCAGAACCTTGTCGTCTATATGCGAACTCCCTATCCACTATCTGTGATGGCGAATAATCGCGGGCTTTGCCTTCAAACTTGACTGGTTTCCCTTGAGTTCTCTGGCGCTGGTGTCAAAGTCGTCACTTTAAAACGCGGCAGCCAGCTTTTTTAGGTTTTTATTGATGAAGCATGTTCCCCATATGCTTCACACAGGAATCGATGTCCATCAACTGCGCTTTTCTCGGGGAAAAAAAAGACGTAAGGACAGCGCTTTTCACAAAATTTATTTTGTTATCATAAAGATTCGCATGAAGGGAAGTGTTTACGCTACGGATGATACGACGCTATTTTTTGTACCTCAATAAATATACCAGAACTGAACCTACGAATGCTCTTGGCAATATACAGGGGGGGGGGGCAAAAAAAAGTCATTTTGCCTCCATGACTTTCAAGGCGCTATAAGTTACACTTTATTAAATTTTTATCGGACATTTTTACTACCATATTAAAGAGCACATTAAATACTATAATGATACTCCGCCACAGCCTTCTGGAGGAGCGCCATCGAGAGATTCGGCCGCGCGAAAGTGAGTGGGTACCGGAGTTGAGCGAGATCGTTGATTTCTCCGCCACTGTAGACCACCCTATTGAACTCCGCCCGAACCGAGTAATTGAGGGGGTTTAGTTCAAGACTCTCGCTTAAATACTCCATCTTTTTCTGGTACTCAACGTTCT